CCCCCCCCCCCCCCCCCCCCCCACATGTCATCAAGCCACATTACCTTCCTTATGACACATCATACATCATCATGATTCCTCACTCATGCATTAGTCAGAAGAACAGATCACTAATCATGTGCGTTCATCCTCTCATATGAAGCCATTATACAGCAGTTGATTATAGGACGAAGAAGCAGCCACGCAATCAGCTCAAGAAAAAAAGTCTGTGGAAAATGCTGAAGACAGCTCACAGATTGATGCATCAACTCCAGACATCGAGAAGGCAGTTTGTGTGTGTGTGTGTGTGTGTGTGTGTCTGTGGCAGCGGGCTGTACAGTATGGATAATGTGGTGTTGTATTACAGGCAGACGGGCTGACTCGTGCATACTGGCCTAATGACATAGTGACCACATTTATCCTGCCTCTGAAGCATAATCGGCACTCTTGGATTCCAACAGTAACAACGGGGCCCGTCAGTGGCCACGGGCGCAAAGCTAACACACACATAAATCACACAAGCAAAGGCAAGATGTGCGCGTGTTTTCCTGTGTGCAGCCAACTCACATGCCAACAGAAAACATAGAAGCACAGAAACAAATATACAACTACGGACAGAGACAGATGCAAACACAGACACATTCGCACATAAACCGCTGCTCCCAGTAGTACTTTATTTTCAGAGACAAAACAGATTGTTCTCATAAAACAGCGCCAAAGGGAATAGCAGATTTACACAGACAGGTCAGATAAATGCTTGACTGTTTTGCTAATGCTCTTGTGAAATTGCAGCATCTTTGTCTTTTTTCTCTGCAGACCTTTTTTTTCCAGTCAGTTCGGCTTTGGATGCCGTTAGCCCCCATCACTCCACCTGCGTGTTAATAACGTCGACCTACTGTACTCTACCTCTGTCCTGCTCTCTGAAGGCGAGGGACAGACTGAGATAGAGAGAAACACAGCGGAGGGCGAGGAGGGAGAGGAAAAGACAAATAGCAAAGAGAAATAGAAAGAGAGGTTATAGATAAAGAGACACACAGCACAGGGGAAAAAAGAAAAAAAGTGGGGGTTTACAGGGAAGGGGAGCTTCCTGTAGCTATAGCAACCGCTGGTACGCTGGTCCAATCACCACGCCAATGCCTGGTTGCTAGGCAGAGATTCCGGCGGAGAGAGTCGGGAGCGCGGGAGTGCGGCAGGCAGCGGCGCTTTTCTCGTACGACTCTCCAGGATCCGGGATAGATGACGTGGGATCATTCCTACACTTGTCTCTCTCAAGCGTTACCGTCCTGAGGGGGTTTTAAAACACACCGCCTATTGTCTTCAAGTGTCTCAGTGAAGGTGGGATTTCTGAAAGATAAAGAGGATCATTAAGCGACAAAACCCTGCTGTGTTGGACAAACACCCACATACACACACTAAACCAGTACATAGGTACACAGAGCTGGAGCTGTAGAGCATTTGTATTGCTTATCACAAGCCCCCATCCCTGTGCTTGTGTGTGTGTGTGTGAGAGATGTCATTCACGCCTATTTTCCCCTCCACTGAGTGTCTTAGCCCTCAGAGGGTTAAAAGCTGAAGGCCTCGGCAGCGGGGCTGGTCTGCTGGTATGAAGGGAGTCCACTGGGCAACCATCTGTCTCCATCAACTATACCGCAGCCAATTGCTAGGAAAACCCTGTCACTCATGCACGATTTCTTTCTGCTTTAGCCTTAAGCTGGCTCTCCCTCTCTCTCCTCTCGCCCTCCTCTACGACCACATCTCCGTCTGTTTTCTGTTCCCGGTTTTCTTTTTTATAGCCACGCTAGCGGCATGGCTCTAGGGATAGCAACGTCAGTCTGCCAGTCTGCCACTTTGGTCCAGCTTGAGATATCTCAGCAACTATTGGATGGATTGCCATTACATTTTGTAGAGACACTCATGGTCCCTAGAGGATGACTCCCGCTGACTTTGGCGATAGCCTCACTTTTCCTCTAGCGCCATCATGAGCTTGACATTTTCGG